AAAATAGTCTCTATTTTAGAAAATGAGATTCAGTAAACATTAAAGAACAATCTAAGTATAATACAAAAGGCTTCTACACCTTTTCTCTATTTGAGTGTATTATTTAGTTATTAACCCTATTATAAATCTTTTAGTAACTTACCTTTATTAAATAAGACTCTAAAGAGTTACTTATAGTATAAGTATTCCATCTTTAAAAGTATTAAAGATGCTTAGCACCTTGTACATGTTTGGCTAAAAGAAATTAGTAATTACCTTCAATTATATGTGTCCAAAATCTCTACTAGAATAACTAGCTTATAACAGTTATAGTTATTTAGTTTAAACTTTACTTTAATATTTCTTAATAAGTGAAAGTAGTTTTAGTCCTTCTTTACAGACTCTAAATACTATGTTAACACAGTACTCAGTATCTTCAGAGTATCTACTTAAAACAATTAGACTTATTATACTAACTTCTGAACTATAGTACTAAGTTTTAAATTTACTATAGTTAAAAGGACAAACATGTAAGGATTCCAAACCTTCTATAAAGAATAAATAAAGAATAAATAGAGACATTCTTGCTTGACAGTCTGTCTCTAACCTTCTAATTAACAGGGCTATTACTATATAACTATTTAGTTTACTCAGAGTAAACTTTATTATTACTATAAAGATTAACTTACAATACTATATATTTTAGAAAGGCCTGAAATGTACTTTTTATTTCTGCTCTATACATTTATTACATTACTAATAGACTCACTTAACACATTAAGGAACTACAGACCTTAATAAAACTTAGTACACAGAAGGTTATGTTACTTTTTAACATAATAGAACTCTTAATTATTAAATCCAGATTTAGAGTATTTAGTTATAGTTGAGGCTCAAGTCTAGTAATAATAATCCTAGAAGTTGCTTAGACACAGATAACTTGTTAAATTAGCTAGTAGAACATTTAAAAAATTTTATACTGTCTATCCAGTTTGTATAACACTTATTCTATAAAACTTAATAAAGTATAAAAAATATAAGAATTACTTTACTACTTTCTACTTGTAACTTACATTAGGATAGAATGACAAGCAAGTCTAGTACTACTCATATCATGTTCACCAAAGTCTGTTATAAATACAACTGTCAGACTGTAGAATGTACTAAGTAATTAGTAATAAATAAACAAGGAATTTATAAAAGTTAAATTGGCCTGTAATGTGTTTAATAAATCAGCTTTAGGAATGTAGTAGAACCAGATGAATGTAGAATAAGTGTAATACAGTCAATGTTAATGTCAATTAGTAGTACAGGCTCAGACCATTTGCTAGAGTTATAGTAATGTAAAAAACTGTTAACATAATTAGCTAAATTTAGCAAATTTGCTTGTAACTCTACAACTAATAATTATTATAAAATATACAAAATACTGTTAGAAAGCTATTCTTTACAGCTTTCCATCCATATGTATTAGAAAGAAAAATATGTGAAATTGAGTGAGTTATGAAAGGATCTACATATATATATTATGTTAGTAGTTTTTTACCTTACATATTAAGATTCAAAGATTTATCTATAACTTATACAAATCAGTATAATTTGTCTTGAAACAAATCATGAATATACAACTATAGTATATGTACAATATATTAAAATTTCATTGTAAATGGCTCTTATTTAGTTGAATTAAAAATGCCAGAGTGAATTTGCTAATTTAGCTGAGAAATATGCATTTTTAGTACTATATACTTAATAAAACTTTAACTAGTACCTAATCAGTCATACAAATCAAGACATGTAGTGCTCTATTATGTATCCATATATTTTTCAAGTCTTGTGCCTGTACTATGACTGTGAAGAATATTAATGACTACTTAATGTATTTCTACTTATTTTTTTGTTTAAATTAATACTTTCTTAGATAAAACAGATGTACAGTCTCTTACAGTTTGTCAACAGTTTCAATACTTTTCATTTAAGTGTAATATAACATATGTAATATAAGACTGTATATGTTAAGTTACATGTCTGTCATAATACTGGTTGAATTTTTATTAAGTATATAGTACTAAAAATGTATATTTTTTAGCCAAATTAGCAAATTCACTCTGGCATTTTTAATTCAACTAAATAAGAGCCATTTACAATGAAATTTTAATATATTGTACATATACTATAGTTGTATATTCATGATTTGTTTCAAGACAAATTATACTGATTTGTATAAGTTATAGATAAATCTTTGAATCTTAATATGTAAGGTAAAAAACTACTAACATAATATATATATGTAGATCCCTTCATAACTCACTCAATTTCACATATTTTTCTTTCTAATACATACGGATGGAAAGCTGTAAAGAATAGCTTTCTAACAGTATTTTGTATATTTTATATGCTAAAATTAGCTAATTATGTTAACAGTTTTTTGTGTCACTGTATATAAATTGTACACTTTGTCAAATACTAGTAATATGAGAAATGTCAGGCCAGCCCTGAATATATTGTCTAAAAGGTTGAGTGGTTTGACATAAAGTACTTAGAAAGATGTCTTACAACTAATAAGAATGTGTAACACATTGTCTTTTAGTAGTAGATGAGTAACAGTAACAGGTGAGTTCTACAGAGAGATATGAAATACAGTATAGCCCACCTGGAAAACACTAGCAATGTTTAAGAAATAAGTAATAGTATCTAAATCATAAACATAGAGTTTTAAAAAATTGTGTACTTATATTGTAAAAGCTTACTTACTACTGAATAAATTGTTATAACAGTAAAGGACTGACCTTTATTATTTTCCTGTCTACAAACACAATAGTGAATCTTGTTTGAAATTTTATAGATTGTTATAACACACCTTCCCTAAGGAATGAGTACTTTAATAGCTGTAGCTCTTGAGTATGTAAGAATAGGATAGGTAAAGCTGTTCTTAAGATACTAGTTATACATTTCTGAAAGAGTGACTAATCTGTCTAAGGGAGGAGCCTTAAACATTGTGCTTAACAATGCTCAAGTACAAGTTATGAGAGCCATTAGTAATATTTTGTAATCTATAGTCATATTCTATAAATTTGATAAGATTTCTCTTGTCTAAAAGTTTAAACACAATTTTGTTTTGTATATATACATAATATGCACAATTTTAATATTGTATAAAGAACTTTGTGAGAGATAGTAGGCTACTGTGTATAATCTTCCCCTATCTATAGAACTCACACTAAGTATTTAGAAACCAGAAGAGACTCTACTGTTAGAGAATAGTAATTTCTAGAGTTTGTAATAAAAGATCCTTTTAAAATACAGTAACTTGAAATATGCCAAATTTAATACATGTATTTACTAGAAACTGTAAGTAATAGAGACTGTAAAGTACTACTCACAAGGGTCTATACAATAATGAGTCCTCAAGAGTATTAATAGATCTTAGTATTAATAGAATAAATACTCTTTATTCTATTATACATTAAGTGTATAGAACACTTGTAGAATTGTCTTAATCAGGGATTTGGGAAAAACAGCTAGTTTATTACTTTAGTAACCCTTAAGAAACTAATATGTTGTACTTCTACTTACTATATATACATGCAAATTTAAATAAAACAACATAATAGTACAGAAGAGATATATTAAGCTAAAGATGTTAGTCCTTTAGTTTCTGTTATTCAAACACTTGTTGTTTATATGTATATGAGTCTAAATGGAGGATAAAGGTAGCAAGCTATAGAGTAGTGGCAGAGTAGCTAGAAATGCAAAGCCTGGTGTTAGGACAACACTTCTGTAGTGAATTACTGACAGAGTAGAATAGTAAGAGGTTCTCCTTTAAGAAAATTGGGTAGTATATACAGAAGTAGTGTGAGGGATTACTATATATAGTGGACCATACATAGAACCTCTTTACCAAAAGGGTGCAATGTCAAGCTTGGCTTGACACCTAGTCTACACTATATATACTAATAAATGTTTGTGTCCTAACATTACTCTCCTCTCTAGAGTCATGTGTCCTTACATGACTAGTATATAGAGTTTGACCCTAAGGGTTACTATTTCTAGCTTAACCTTGACAGTCTTTAGAGGTAGGGAGAGATATCCTAATATAGAGTCCTGGCCCCAGTATTCCAAGCAACTGAGAAATTCACTCCCCCCCTTTTAGGAAGCTTATTCTTAGCCTAATACTTTTGCTTACAGACAACCCTACATCAGGATCAACCCCTGACTACTCTAAGCTTGACATTATGTGAGGGATTACTATATATAGTGGACCATACATAGAACCTCTTCACCAAAAGGGTGCAATGTCAAGCTTGGCTTGACACCTGGTCCACACTATATATACTGATAAATGTTTGTGTCCTAACAAGTAGTAGAAGTAGAGAAATTTCACTAAGATGGCCACTTACAGAGTAAGAAACTTGAAGGACATAGTGTGATACTTGAAAAGGAGAGTGCATGTAAGATGGGAGTCTGCTTATGTAATATGTACAAGACCCATACATTTCAAGTAGTTAACTAATAATTCATTGCCCATCTTGTTGACATGCTTCTAGCTATGGAACAAGTACCAGACTATGAAAAACACTAGTTAGGGCACAGTATTTGCCTCAATAAGGTAATAAAAAATGCAACAAGGTCTGAGAAGGTTACCCCAGTCTATTATTCTTCCCAACACACATACAACAGTAATAATAAAATTCCCTGTACAATTCAGAGTGATGACCTCTCGTAAAAATCCGAATGCTAACTGGGTAGGTTGTTGCACAAATGGAAAACACAAGAACTGCGTGCCTTTGAAAGGACATAGTAGATGCTTGGCGAAACCTAGTAAACTAGTTGCAGTACAGAGGGCCAGAGGCTCTGGCTCTAGAAATTCGATCCCGTTCTTGTACAGAGCTGATACCTTCCATAGATAGTCTAGTTCAGAGAGATTATGAATAACCAACGTTAGCAAGAACGAATAAATGTCTAGTCATGATATAGCAGTTCAAGGACTGTCCGCCTCTAACGCTTCAAGTCCCTCCTTCCGCAACCAGAACGGTCCTAGAATTCCAGATGTTTGATTTTTCCTCAGCAAAGAAACGAGATGATAACTTGCCTACTGGATCTCCTTCGTCGTGAAAGACAGTTGTCCACGTACCGAGAACACCGAACGTCGATTGCGCAGCTCCAATTTGCACACCTTCCGAACTATCACAATAGGTTAGGGTGTGCATTAAAGATCACAGTCAGCTTAATGCATTACCTCCAAATCATCTGCGTTGCTTCTCCAGATGTCTATGTAGTAAATCAGTTGAGGCCGGGATAAACTGATGATCACATTACTCACGAAACTCCATCGAATTGTACCGTCACCAGCAGCGTTGACAGTGCCCGTCATAGTATGTACGTCTTGGACGCTCCCCTTGAATGTGATTGTTGGTCTAGTTGGAAATTTCGGATTAAATTTTGTTCCCGTGAAGCGCATACGAAGCCTAAATGATCGGAAGACTTCAATGAAGTCAGGACGGGCAAAAAGAGATGTGTCTCGTGGCTAAAAATATTGCGTTAGGCAATGAAAGGCGATGGACTTGCTTGAGTCTCACGTCTGTTACATTAAAAGCTTAAAAGAAAACTTAGCTCAGATAGCGGAAATTGCAATAGGAAGTCGTACCAAGTAGTTCCCTATGATCAATAAAACAGAAAGAGCAGCTCCACAGTCCGTCTACCCCTGCCCAGTCACCTTCCAGCTGATGCTTCGGCAATTGTGTCTGGCAATATGGAAGAAGACTCAAGACTTGGTTACCAACCGGACTAGCATCCTCTGGAGCAACGATATGCATGCCCATAACGTGTTGCACGGCAAGTAAATGCTCCCAATTAACCTCGCCGTTAGACTGAAACGGACCCCATCCATTCGCTTCAGAATAATTCCGCATATCATATACGAAAGCTCGCGTGTCGACACAGCGCTCTAGGGAGAAGTCAGGCGCTGTGTGCCCCACGTGCGTGTGCAATTTAGCTACAAGCTGGCGGATCTCGTGGAGAAGCGAATTACGTCGGGCGCGAAAGTACTCTAGGAAGTCGCCGAGCTCACGGCGAGCGGCAAGCCAGACAAGGTTTCGCGAGATTTCCTCAGAAGTATACTGATATGAGGCCGACGGTGTCTGAATGACCATAGAGACGACCGTCTCAAGGACCTGGAGGAGTTCGTCATTATTTCGAAAGCAAGCCGGATTACTAATGACTGTTTGTGCTCGAACGCGTCGCTTCAGCTCGTCTTGCCAGTCTACAGGCTCCTCGTAGTGTAACAGAGGGTCTCCGAAAGAATTTGTACATTTCCGTGGATCGTCAAAGGTTTCTTCCGCTAGGAACAGAGCACGCCAGAGATGCTGGTCTTCGGATTCGTAGACTAGAGAGTACAGTGCACGGCATGTCTGAGAGAAGCGGGCTGTGTCGATAGGGCCAGCAAACAAGAGAATGCTTTCTATAATTTCCGGAGGTAGGTCAAGAAGGGTGACCGACATCGTGTCTAGACTCCAGAACTTAGTGGAATGAAGCGAGTGGACGAGTCCGTTCCGATCTGACGAGCTGATGGGAACGACGCTAGGGACTGCAGTGGAAACCGTCACCAAAAACCGCAATCCGCAACCGCGGATAGGTTATCCGCGGTTGAAATTCTCACGGTAACCGCAGTAACCGCGGTTACACTGCCAACGTTCGACTCCATACACTACTTTTTTTGTTTTCGTTTTTTCCTCTTTGTTTTTCAACACAAAACACTATTTTTTTTACAAGTAAGCAAATATTTGTATTGAATACAAACTATGGACAGGGTATATACAGAAAATGTACATGAAATATTAAGAGTACAGCTCTGTTACTCTAGCTTCAGAGTATGAACTTTGAACATCACGAAAAAGTCGACAACAAATGTAAATTAATAATAGCAAATGTAATGTAATAATGTACTTATATATCAATTACACTTCAAAATTATAATTATACTTTGCTTGTAATTGAAATGTAACAACTGTATATAAATGTAAT